TAATGCAGAGCTGCTCAAAGCTGTTGAACTGGGGAAGGAGAGAGGAGATGGCCAATGGGGTCAACAGAACACCTAAGATCTGGTGGGTCAACCTGAGACCCAACGAACTTAACAGAACAACCAGTGAAAACAGGACCACCTGACCGTCCAGTAGTGTTAACTCAACACCCGATGGGGTCAGAACAACAGGGTCAACCAAGGCTTACATCAAAGATCTCGAAGCCAGCGATGTCCAGCACACCGATGAAGTACTGCCGTGGCTGCTTGGTCTCCAGCGAGTTGTTAATCCTGGTCACCATCCAGTTGAACATCTTCTCATACACAGCCTTGGCCAAGGCCCCAACAGCATAAATCACCTGGAAGAGGAATGTTCCACCGGTGAGAGGGGGCTCTCAGTGCTCTCCTCCTTGCTGGAGATGGCACCATGCCACTCCAAAGGGAGGAGGTTTTGGGGATGTCCTACGCACCTGTTGGACATTCTGCCCCTTGGTGACGTACTCATTGCCCACCTTGACCCGAGGGTGGCACAACCCCTTGAGAAGATCAGCTGAGTTCAGCCCCATTAGGTAAGCTGACTTGTCCGCCTCTGAGGATGCAGAGGAGAAAACATGAACCTGGAAGGACCATGGGGTTCACCCTAGTTCCCACCTTGACTTTGATTGGACCCAACCTTCAGTGCCATCTGGTTCTGCCTGCTCTTCCCGTTGCTTCTGCTTGAACTTCATGTTGCCAAAGTGCATAATGGCACCTGTCAGTTTGTAGATGGAGTTCTTCTCCTCTTGGGTGAAGCCCAGGACATCAAAAGCACTCTGTGGGGCAAAAACGTGGATGAAGGTTGTCTTCAGCCCACAGAGAAACACACACTCACTGCCTAGTGGCCCCTCATCTCACATCTGTAGCCAGGAGCTCTTCTCCATCATCAATGGATGGCACTGTGGTCTCTCCTTGGGAGATGAAGGCATAGTCGTAGGGGTTGTTGGTCACCAGCATCATATCTGCAAGAAGAAGATGGGGTTGGGACAGGCAGGAGTCCTCCAGAAAGGAGTTGGGGTCAGGTGTTTGTAGGTGGGGTGGGAGCATGGCTCACCCAGCAGCTCTGGCTTCTTATTGGAAAGTATCTGGTAGTAGATGTGGTAGTTTCTTTCAGCCTTCAGCTGGAAGATGACGCGGGATTTCTCCAGAAGGTCTGAGATGGGAATAGAGAGAAGATGAGTGGAAGGTGGGATGAGGAGATGGAGGGTCAGATGGATGGACGGATGGATGGAGGTTTGAGGAGATGGAAGTGTCGATGGATGGTAGGATGAGGAGAAGGATGGGCATGTGGGTGGAGGAATGGATGGATGGATGGATGGATGGGTGGATGATGGACAACCAGATGTCCTCTCATGAAGCCCACAACCTACTCACAGGTCTCGATGTCAGCTGATGCTAATTTCCCAGTGGCTCCAAAATGGATCCGGATGAACTTCCCCTGGGAAAGCAGTGGCAGGAGGTGGAGGTGGCCACCTTTTCCCAGATAACCCTAACCCACAGACCCTACTCCATAGGCTTCAGCCCAACACTCACGAATCGCGATGAGTTGTCATTGCGAACAGTCTTGGCGTTGCCAAAGGCCTCCAAGGCAGGGTTGGCCTGGATGATCTGGTCTTCCAGAGTGCCCTGGTAGAGTAGGACAATGTGGGGGGACTGTCACAGGGAGGGGCAGGAACTGGGGTTGTGAGGTTGAGATGGATGAATGGGAGAACACAGAGGTCCATGTAGGTTTGCATAGGCAGGGAGGTGGGTTGATGCCATAGGTGGAGGGATGGAACTGGGGCAGATGAATGGAAGGTTGGATAGATGGTTGCTTGGCTGGATGGTTGATTGGATTGTTTGAGTGGTTGGTTGGGTGATTGGTTGGGTGATACATTGTGTGGTTGGTTGGACAGACAGGCAGCAGAATGTTTGCCAGACATTGTCATCCCCCATCCAGTGTCCTCACCTTGCCTGGGGCCCCTGTCTCCTTCTTGCCACGGTCACCGATGGCAGCAATGACGGCGAAGTACTGGATGACCCTCTTGGTGTTCACTGTCTTCCCCGCCCCAGATTCTCCGCTGAGGGCAGCCAAGGAAAGCAAGGGCTGAGTGCTGTGGGCAGGGCTATGATGCTAGGGGTGGGGACTCACTGGGGGAGTGGCACTTGCAGTAAGTGGACGATGGATATCCACAGGCAAGTCCAGGTGGTGAGAAAGGGTTGGTCGTGCCAGTGGGCATGGCTTCAGAGGGAGAAGGGGAGGACCTATGTACCAGGTGAGCAGGGCTAAGGACGTGTTTAGATATGAGGTCACTTACGTGATGAGGATGGACTGGTTCTCCCGATCTGGTGGAACAAGGAGAAGAAGCATGAGGTTCTGAAGTCCACCTTGGCTCTGCCCCACATCTTCTGCTCCCCAAAAAGGATCAGTGGATATGGTCTTGGGGTCCCTGCAGGAAGTCCCTACCTGTCAGCATGTTCTGGTAGGCATTATCAGAGATGGAGAAGATGTGGGGTGGAGCTTCACTCCGCTTCTTTCCCCGGTAGGCAGCCACCACCTCAGCATTGTAGACAGGCAACCACTTGTAGGGGTTGACTGTCACGCAGAAGAGTCCTGAGTAGGTCTGGAGAAAAAAGTAGGTGGGTAAGAGTCTGGAGGTGCCACCCCACCAGGTAGTCCAAGGGGTCTGCAGAAGTGACATCTTGTATCTAGGTGGCCCAAGGGGTCTGGAGAAGGGATGTCTTGGGTTTAGGTGGCCCATGTGATCTGGAGATGGGACATCTTGGGTCTGAGCGACCCAAGAAGCCTGGAAAGAGGATATCCCAGTTCTGGATGGCCCACAGAATCTGGAGAAGGGAGATCCTGGTTTCAAGTGTCCCAAAGGGTTTGGGACATCTTGGTCTGGGCGCCTCAAGAGGTGTGAAAAAGGGACATCCCATTTATGGGTGGCCCATGAGATCTGGAGAAAGGGTATCCCGGGTCTATTTGGCCCAAGGGGTCTAGAGAAGGGTTGTCCAAGTTCCAGATGGGGTCTGGAGAACCTCATGGGCTCCCAACTCACATAGATCATCCAGGAGGCGTAGCGCTCCTTGAGGTTGTAGAGGACGGCAGGCTCATGGAGGAAGGTCAGCATGGCCATGTCCTCGATCTTGTCGAACTTGGGAGGGTTCTGCTGCATGATCTGGTCCTCCTTGACCGTCACTGTCTGCTCAAGGTAAGGAGAACACCATGGGTTGGGAGGACAGGACAAGGAGTCGCCCCAGGTTTTTCCTCCCATAGGGCTGGGACCTGGGTATCTGGGTATTGCCTTGGGAGCTGGAGAAGGTATAGGTGTCCCTTAAGTGATAGAGAAGATGGTTTGGGGTCTGGGTGTCCCTTGGTTGATGGAGAGGGTAGGAGGGAGTCTAGGTGTCCAGTGGGTGCTGGGGAAGGGAGGTCAGGGTCTAGATATTTCCTGGGTTCTAGAGAAGATGTGGTGGGGTCTGAGAATCCAGTGGGTGCTGGTGAAGGTATGTTGAGGTCTAGATGTTTCTTGGGTTCTAGTGAAGATGGGTTGGGTTCTTTGTGTCCCATATGGGATGGAGTTACTATTTTGAGGTCCTGATGTCCCGTGTGTGGCTGGGGTCCCCCCACCTTGCCATGCTCGGTCTCAGCAGTGATCTTGGAGCCCTCACGGCTGATGATGGTGGCCTTAACATATTCCTCCTTCTCATCAGGAACAAAGATGTCCTTCTTCAGGTCAAAGGGGCGGGTCTGGGCGGCCACTCTCTCCTTCTCCGACTTGCGGAGATAGGGGGCGGCCTCCCCAAATTCAGCCATCTCCACGTCAGGCATGGTGGCGCTGGGTGAGGCTGTGTGGGGCAGAATGGATCAGACCCTCCCAGTGCCGCCAGTTCCTCCCAGTTGACCCCATCCCAACTCCTTCCTTGGTTCATCATCCACTGTTCTCCAGATGTCCCAGTTCCTCATGGTTGATCTGACTCTTCCGTTCCTCCCCAGTGCTCCCAGTTCCTCTACAGAGCTCCCAGTCCTCCCAGTCAGCCCCATCTGAAGTCCGTCCTTGGTGGTCTCATCCTCCCCCATCCTTCTCCACTGCTCCCAGTTACTTTCTAGTGCTCCCAGTTCCTCCCAGTTGTCCCTATCTCCATCCCAATTCCTCCTTGGCAGTCCCAGTACCCACCCGAGTGCTCCCAGTTCCTTTCAGTTAAGCTGAGTTTCCCCAGTGCCTCACACTGCCTGCCCTTTACCCAACCCCAGCACCTCCCAGTATTCCCCAGTACTTCTCCATCCCTCCCAGTCCCTCCCAGTTCCCCCAGACACCCCTCAGTTCCTTCCAGTGCTCCCAGTGCCCAGCCCCACCTCTCTCAGTGGTCTCCGAGTCAGGGGATGATAGTGCAGACTCAGGGGGGCTCTGGTCCTGGTCCGGAACACAACAACACCCCTCAGTATGTCTTAGTATGTCCCACTGTATACCAGCATCCCCCCAAGCCCCACCAATAATTCTCCAGTACACCAGCACACACCATCTCACTCACCACCCCCCCCACCCCTCCGACCCAGTACTGCTTAGTAAGTTTCAATATCCCCCTAGGATTTATCCAGTACCCTCCCCCAATATCATTTCTGTCCCTCCTGGTTATCCCATAGACCCTCCCAGCATCATCCCAGTCCCTCCCAGTTCCCCTACAGACTGTCCCAGTATCAT